TCATTTTGTGTGTGCATGTAAGAGCCTATTTTATTTGATTTTAAATGTCCTATTATAATAATACACATTTAGACATAAACAGGAAGATCCAATATATACAAAGTACTAAATTACCTAATTTTGACATAATTCAAAACACATCTAATAAAATAGTTCACTCACAAGACTCATCTATGGTTGTGAGTACAAAGAAAAAGAAAGGGAAGACTTTGATACTAGGTCAACTTTAACACAAAATCGCTAGATAAGATTTTCCAATGTGATTGCAATATTTGAAGTTTTTAAATAAAATTTTTGGGCATAATGAGATTCAAACCTTGACATTCTCATGTATATTTTTTTTAAAAAGTATTTAATATTTAGTTTGATATTCTTATAAAATTTAATACAGAAAAACAACTAATTTATAATTTTAGAGCTTAAACAAACAAAGTAATAGCAAATTAATGAAAACAAATTAAAAATTAAAATCTATATGAAAGATTCAAACATGGACAAATTAATATTTTTATTAAATATTATTTTATTAATATAAATATTTTGAATACTTATGTTTTACGATTTATTTCAACATTCCTTTGACAAATTGTACATGGGACAAATATTTTCCTTGATGACAAGAAGATTTTCACATGTTACTCCGTTGAACAAAATTATGTGTCTTTGATCTAAACGTGGAACAAAATATTTATCATTTATGTTTAAAATTATGATTTCAACAGTTTAAATTAAATTGATCGGAAAAGTAGTTTAATTTTCATTTTAATAATATTCTATATTAAATTTAAAATATTTTAATCAACAATTGAATTGGTTTAAATAAAAATATTAATATTTATCATTATGCATAATATTTTTTTCAATTTTTTTTTAAAGAGATTAAAATAAACATTAAACTAACTATAGATATCAACAATCATGCATGACAACTGTTTATTACTAATAAATAAATAAATAAAAAATAGATACAATAATAAATACATATATCATTTAAATCATATACAATAACTAAAATATTAAATAATACTATTATAAAAAAAAAAGTTGACAAGACATGACAATGTAACACATTTTAAAACAATAAAACCATGACAAAACACACACATATACATTCATATTCTATCAATAAATATAGAGTTTACAAATACATTTATTATTTACATAAATGTAATAGTATCTCCCATCTACATTTAATCAATTCATCTACATGTACAATTCATCAAATATCAATATCAGTAAATAAATAAATAACAATAACAGTTATGTATCGTTAACCGTTGAGTCAAGATCAAACGATCGAAAAGTTGTAAATATCTTGACTGTGTGATTACGGTAAAATTGAAGAGGAGAGAATCAATTTTCTATGGCGGGAGAAAAAGTTAAAGATAGAGTGAGTAGTGAGGTGCGCACTATGAATTGAGTGGTGAGAGATGGTTGTGGATGAATGAAAACAAGTGTAAGGTTGGATAATAATAGGAGTAATAACAATGAATAGATTAGACATAGAACCTCGAAGAACTCAACACAATTACTTGACCATAAATTCCAACTGCAAAACAAAGGTTGCATGCAGTACGAGTGTGAAGTCAATTGGTTTCTCTTTTGATATTGTTTTTCATAGCACGAGATTCTATATCGCGTTTCTCATAGGTTAACTTTTATTCTTATTATTATTTAAACTACTTTCTACAACCTTCAAGTACACTAGCCAATTTTTGCCAACTCAGTTTGATATAACAGTTGTATTTGTCTAGTTTTTCCTATGAGAAAGATATATAGATCAAATGGTAATCTGAAAATTCAAAGTGCAACCAAACACGGGTAACTAAATTAAGATTTGTGGATAATGTTACAAAACTACGTGCCCTAAAATCATGATAACATTCTCTCTATACTATTTTTGTTTCTATTCATATTTTGTCTAATTTTAACATACACACAATATAATATCTACTACCTCTATTTTAATAATCAACACAAGAATAATACGAATGAAAATAGTAGTTTAACTATTTTAAATATTGGAGAGTAAAAGTGAAAATCTAATATAAATCAAAGTTAGTAGTTAAAATTTCATATCAACTAAAATTAAAAGAAATGTTTAATATATAAAAAGTAGATCCACAAACACATCGTTATAATGTTTTGGGTGAATATACGGTATTAAGATCTTTTACATTCTAAACGTTTAATATATTAACACTTTTGATGTTCATTTTGATAGAGATAACTCGCATTTGTGAGATATACGAAGTAAAAAAGATTAAGTTTAAATGTTTAGTCCATTAATATTTTTACCGTTTTCGAGACTCTCAAATAATTATATATCAAATGGAGGCATGATTAGAAATTCAAACATTTGGTCCATGAAGAAAAGGATAACAACAATGGGCCACGGATGGAAGTATGCCCAAAATGGTCCCATATTACCATTTAAAAATAAAAATAAAACAATCCTATGATTTTATTTAACTTCATTTTAAAACGCAAATTGATAAAACAAATATTACACTAAAAAAAATAAAAAGATATAATTTCCATAATGATATCATTTATAAATTATAATCATTGTTATTATTATAATATTCACTTACAAAAATAATAATTATTAAGCGATTATTTTGGTATTTTCTTATATAAAGTTATTTTGGTCCTTGTTTTCCTATGTAAAATCATTTTAGTTATTGAATATATATGAGATACTATTGTTATAACCTTTGAATATAAAGTACAAATATTTTTTCTAATGTACGTTTAGTTAGTCAACTTTGTATTATTTGAATATATCTTTTGTTAATCACTTTATTATTTTAATATGTTTTTTTAATTAATTTAATATTTAAAATTACAAAAAGTATAATTTATATTTTTTTCTTCTCTAAATGAAAGATTATCTTGAGTTTTTCATTCTCTTTTATAAAATTCTCTTCAATTTTGAAATGTATTAATTATTTCTTTATTTATATATCTTTAATTATATTATTACATTATTTTAACGTTATATATTAAATTGTTTTACATAAATATTAAATAATTTTTTTATCTCAAAGACAAATTTCAAAAATAATAAAATAATCAACAAATTTAATATTCAACAATTTTTTTTTTAATTCTCGTAATTTTTTTGAGAAGTCTTATATTTAAAAATGAAGGGTGTATTTAAAATTTTGATACATTCACATTTTTATAGTATAATTCATATTTTTAAAAATTGGTTCAATCATCTATCTAAGACAAAGGGGTTCATGATAGAATCAAAAAGTCACCTATTCTTCAACCGTATGATTTAAATAAAATTAGATAATTATGTTATGAGACTCTCAATAGCAAAGTTGTATAGATAAGACAATAAAAGATTTATTTAGTAGCCTTTTTTTTATCGCTAATTTATAACTCAATTTGTTAACTTAGATTTTATTATTTAGATATTATTTTAAATATTTAATTATATAATTTATGTTTTATCATTTTTCTTTTACTTTTATTTTTATTATTTTAGTAAAAAATTATTTTTATCTTTTTATAATTTATTACAGTTTAAAATAAAATAATTATATATTAAATATAAAGAATATCAAAGATCAAATACTTTTAGAAAAAAGAAATTCACGTTTACCCGTTATAATTTATTTTAACTTAAATTCAATGTATTAATCTGATATAAATTTTATTATAAATCAAGATTTTTTTTAATATTTTAATATGTTCGCAATTTTGCATTGCAAGAGTATGAAACCTATTTTCAAGCATCACAAATAGAGTATTGCACGTGCATTTGATTTAAAAATTGATTCTTTTATAAAATATAAAATTGAAATAAAAATAAATTTAAAATAAAGTTTTATAATAGAAAAAATTAACTTAATAATAGTATATAAAAAGTATTTATACTAATAAATTTAAATTACTAAATTTTAAGGATTTTAAATATATATTCTATTATTAATTAAAAAATATTTTTTATGTCATTTTATATTTATCAACTTGCTAATTGGTTAATTTTATCAAACATTTCAATTAGTTTATAATTATCATCCATCAACTTTCATATCTACTAACTTATCAACTAATCTATATCTTTATCAAACAAAGTATAACTCTTTGAAATTGTTTTTCAAAAATCATAACACTTAAAAAATATTGTAGACATTTGATTTTCCATGTCTATTAAATTTTTTCTCATCTTTTTTCGTAAATAATTTTCCGTGTCTATTAAATTTTTTTCTCATCTTTTTCTAAAAAGATATTATTCTAGGTACTTAAAAATTCAAAACAAATACTTAATTCGATGAAAGTTTAATTAAAATAATTCAACGTATAAAGTTTATATATATATATATATATATATATATATATATATATATATATATATATATATATATATATATATATATTTTTTTTTTTTGATATTCACTTTTCACTTTATTTGTCTTAAACTGTGTTACAATGTTAATCTTTCAAATCAATTTTATGTCACCGCATATCACCGATTAACACCATTTTTATAAACGATAAACAATGTCGACTTAACTTTTATAAATAAAAAATAAGAGTAATCATGAATCTCTTTAGTCATAGAATGTTAGAAAATTTCAATTCATCGATTGATTTATGTCGATTTTCATCGATCAATTAAATGACCGCTCGAATAACCTATTTTAACATTCAATGCGGTTTTCGGTTCAATCGGTTCAACGAGTGCGAAGCGAGAAGTCACCCTACTATATAATACCAATTCTTCACACATAGGTTTACCCAAAAACTAATGCAATCTAAGTTCCAACTAAAAGAATATTTCCCAATATAAAAATGATTTTGGAAAATAAAAATGAGAATCCCCACGAAGCGTTAAGAATTTCTTGACATTGAAGGTACCCTCTTTTGTTGCTTGACCCTCAATCAAAACCCATCTTTTCCGTTTTGCTTCGGCTGCGAAGCCCTAATCCACCATACCCACCACCACCATCACTACCCATTTTTCCTTCACGCCCTAACGCAACATGGGTCACGAAACTCTCTTACTCACTGCCCCTCCTACTACCACACTAATGAACCATCCACTCTCAGTCTCAGTGCCGTCTGCTTCAGCAACTGCTGCACCACCTACCTCCCTTGCTCCTGGATTTAGGTTTCACCCAACTGATGAAGAGCTCGTTATTTATTACCTCAAGCGCAAGTTTTTTGGAAAACCCTTTAGATTTGATGCTATAGCAGAAGTTGATATCTATAAGAGTGAGCCCTGGGACCTGTCAGGTTGCTCACTTTCCCCTAAATTTTTAATTTTTGTCAACTTTGGCATGATAAAGACTGAATCTTTCGTGGTTTTTGTTTCTGGGGTGGTCTTGTTTAGGTTAGCCTCAATGGGGCTTCATTGGGGGTAGCGTAGGGTTTTTAATTTTTTAAAAATTTTGTTGAAATGGGTTTTCTCTGCCTTGGTTAATTTTTGATGGGGTTTAAAATTTTAGGTTTTTTGTTTATGAATGTTTTTTTAGTTTTGAGTTATAAACTCAAGTTTTAATGGTGGTGCTTTGGATGTTTGTTTTAGATAAATCAAGGTTGAAGACCAGGGACCAGGAATGGTATTTTTTTAGTGCATTGGACAAGAAGTATGGAAATGGTGGCAGAATGAACAGGGCTACCAATAGAGGTTACTGGAAAGCTACCGGAAATGATCGTCCAGTTAAACACGACCTAAGAACTGTAGGGTTGAAGAAAACCTTGGTGTTTCATAGTGGTCGAGCTCCTGATGGCAAGAGAACTAATTGGGTTATGCATGAGTACAGACTTGTTGAGGAAGAGATGGAGAGGGATGGGTCTGGACCCTCTCAGCCGCAGGTGAGATTTTAAGAATTTACAAATTGAAGTGTGAGATGATCCTATATGATTTTGTGTTGTTTCGTTGCAGCTACTATGGGCTTTCTTCATTTTGATGTTGATAAAATGAGGAGCTTTGTTGTTTTTTTGTGATTCCCAAACCCGAATTGTATATGACTCTTGGATGCAGGAGTTTAAACTTTGTTCTTTACTAAATGTTGAACCGTAGTTTCCTATGTACTGCATTATGGTCCTTGTTATTTTATTGCATTTGGTTAATGATTTTTGTGCATTTCTCTGTTGGGTGGAGAAGGATGCGTATGTTTTGTGTAGAGTATTTCACAAAAATAACATAGGACCTCCAAATGGACAACGGTATGCACCTTTTGTTGAAGAAGAGTGGGAAGAAGGATTGGGAATGGTTCCTGGAGCCGAGCCTGCGGGTGATGGTCCTGTTTATCTCCCTCTGCGTATTGAAGGCAACAGCGGCGTTTCATGCAGCGAAGAAAGAAGCATTGTTGTGAAGGTCTGTTCTCTCAGTCTTTTTAGGTGTATATTTAATCTCTGTCGTTTGTCATTACTTTTGTTGATTTGCAATGGAACACATTTATTGCTGCTTTTCTTTTTAATATGCATGGCTATTTCATGTTTGTGAAAAAGTATTTGGAATATGGAAAACAGGTGTTGGTATTCATTCAATCAATAGTAAACTGATAAGTTTGCTGAGGGATTGAGAAGCTTTGTTGCATTTTTTGTTTTAATATTGTGTTTTCCTTGACAAGGACTCTTTTTCCCTCAAACATATTTTCTTCTCTCTTTATGACTTTTACCGTATGAAGCACTGACATAGACACAAACACGTCACCGATACTGACACATCGACACCAATAATAATTTTAAAATTAATAAATTAAACATAAACACACGAGTAGGTGTTGTGTCGGTGTCAGAGACTGACACATGTCGCACACCGAACACACTTTGTTTAGAGATGTCGGTGCTACATTGTTTTTTCCTGTGTGAAAAAAAAAAAGTAAAATCTATCATTGGAACGTGCAAAGTTTTAATTTCATATGCCGTCATGTGTTAGTTATGGTTGCACAATAATCATGCTTTGCGAGCTACTTTGGTATTGTGTCTCTTTCTCCTTTCCCCTTATGCTCGAACACTGGAACCCTTGTCCTTCATTTTCTTCTACTTTTCACATCATCTGCTTAATAAACTTATAAATTGTTGCCCAAGTTATAAGGCTTTTTTGGTGTATCTCTTAAATAACAATTAATCCAATGGACCTTCTTCTTTCCGTTCCGCATGATCAAAATTTTGAGACTTGGGGATCAGTGCATGCCTTTAGTTTGTCTGGGCAGAATCCCTTTGAAGGGACACAATATTGTATCTTTGCTGATCCTTTAGCTTTCTTAAGTGGGTGATTATTTTTCGTACCTTGTGTACTTCTTATCTTCATGGTTTTTACAACATGAAAGATTTCCTTTCTGAGAATAAGCAACCTATAATCACTGACGGCATTTGGCTCAGTTAGCAAATGAAGCTGCATGTCGGTAGAAGCTCCGTGCGGTCTTGTAGTGTGAAGGGTTTAAACTGACACGAAGCACTCTGTAGTCAACGCCAATTGTTTTATATGGCATACTGACAATGATTGTTTTTGGCAATTTGCAAGGGCTTAATAAAGTATATATGTTGGTTTCATAATGAATAGTTTGAAGTCAATGTAATTTGACCAGTGGTCAATTAGTTAACTTACCATGGGTATTGATACCTTGGAAAAATTATAGATACTAGAGTAATCGATCTATGTTGGTGATATCTCACTATTCTTTTCCAGAAAGTTTTGACCTCATAATCGGTAGGATTGATTTCTTTCTCCTTTGAGAGAAGTTATTCTTGTGTCATGGAATTGGTAAGCGCTACTTGGTTTGGTCATACTATTTTTTTGACATGTTGAGGCTTTAGAAGTTGTTTGGAGATATTTGAAAATTATGGATGGTCATTGGATCTTGCCATGTCTGAATAGAAAAAATAGCTACCTTCTTATGGTATGGTCATTGGATCCAGCAGGATTTTAAATTGGAAGGTACAAATCAAGGAAGAAGGAAAAGAACTGAAAGGAAAAGAAACAGGGGAACAGAGAGAAATTTGAAGGAAAGGAGGACAGTGACAGTGGAGGTTGAAAGAAAGAGAGGACGGCGGAGATCCTGGAGGGAGGGAGGAAGAACACGGATACAGTCTGAATAAGGAAGGAGAAGGATTTTTCTTTTTTCTTGTGAAAGCTGCGAAAACGAGAGAGAAGAAGAGCGAACCAGTGAAAGAGGAAGATGCTTATGTTGGAAATTGCCTAATTGCGGCATTTGGCTTGTTTTCATTGCAGTCTCCAACACCTTCATTCTGTTGTTTTTGAAGGGATGAATTTAGTGCCACATTGTTTAGAGATATGACCTATGTAGTGTTTATAAAGTTTCGACAACCCTCACCTTACCGCCAGTTTTGTAGGGAAGAGCTAAGCCTAAACCAAATTCTAAGATGGTATCAGGGCCTATCCTAGATCACTTGTTGGGCTAACCACATCATCCATGCTTCTGGCTCATTGAGACCTGAGCGTGAGGAGGTGTGTTGGAAATTCTGCCTTCATTTCAAACTTCAACACCTTCTTTGTGTTGGGTTTGAAGGAGAGGATTTAGTTCCACATTGCTTAGAGATATGACCTATCTAGTGTTTATAAAGCTTAGATAACTCCCACCTTACACGCCGGTTTTGTAGGGATGAATTAGATCCAATCCAAATTCTAAAACTTATGAACCAAATTAGGGCTCACATTAAAGAGAAAATCTCAAAAATACCTTCAAAATGGTTTAAATTTTAAGGAAGCCGCTCCCACGACCTGCGAAACAGTAAATAGCGCCCTCGACATCAAATGCGCCACTATGGCTTTTCCGATCGCAGCCGACCTCCACGTTGCGCTGCTCTCCCGGGATAGTGCCGCTATCAATAACTCTGGGCGTAATTCCTTCTTATATAGCCTATTTTAAAGTTGTTACTAATCCGTTGGCACCAATGAGCAATGAGAAAAGATAACAAAGTCCACACCATTTGATTGAGCACATTAAGAGTTAGTTAGAGAGTTGTAGGTTTTGTATAATGCTTTTACAAAGAGGAGAAAGAGGGAGAAAAGAAAAAGGTATCTATTTTTATTTTAGAACTAGACTTGTAGTATCATTTTTATTTGTTTGCTTGGATGTAAGAAGTGAAGAAGAAAGATTTGTAGAAGTTATCAGGTTGTAGTAAACAGAGTACTAAAAAGTTTCAACAGGATTTTGAGACACTAGACGTGTTACTAAGAAGATATTAGTGCATTCATCTGTAAATGATCGGTAAGTTCTTTAGATGATTTGTTCAGTAAAGTCTTAGACATCACTTGCATAGATAATTAGATAGATATACGGAGTTAGAGAATCTAGTGGTCTGTTGAGTTATTTATACGAAATTGATCATTGAGTGATCCTTGAACAAGAAAGTTTATTGGCATTCTTGTGTTGTATCAATAGAGTTTTTATTGTTGATGCTTCTACATTGTTGTTTATCTATCTGTCAACTTCTCTTATTTTATGCATCATTTCGCATTTTATATCCTTTCAGGACACTCATTCCAACAATAAAACTCCACTTGATGTGAACAAGCTACCAATAGAAACTCGAAATCTTCTTGCTGTGTGCAAAAGGGAAAGCATGACTGAGTATCCATCCCCTGAAAAGAACGATTCTAAGCGTACACATATGGATGACGAGTACCCACTCCAAATCGTAAACCCAAAGCCCTTACCTCAAATATACAAAAGGCGACGCCATAACTTGAACTCCAATCATTCCAATGTTTCAGGAGAGTCATTCCCTATCAGTCAGGATCCATGCTCATCCACAATCACCACTGCCGCAACAACACTCCAGCCAACCATTGCCCCCACCACATCCACCAACCCTGCACCGAAGAAACACTTTCTGTCAGCACTGGTGGAGTTTTCTCTCTTGGAATCACTCGAATCAAAGGAAAACCACACCTTGGTTCAGCCGGAGGATTTTGACTTGGCGAATCTCGAATCCTCTGTGCCTCCGAGTGTTGCAAAGTACATCAAACACTTGCAAAGTGAGACGCAGAAGCTTGGCGTTGAGAAGGAGACAATGCGGTTCGAGCTGACAAGTGCTCAAGCCATGATTAATATTCTTCAGTCTCGCGTCGAAACTCTTAGTAAAGAGAACGGCGAACTGAAGAAGATGATGATGAGAAATCCATAAGAATTGAGAGTGATCTCATTCCTTGTATGATTATGTACCAGTTATATTAAAGTAAATCTTGGATATTTAGTTATTTCTTATTTTTCTTTATTAAGAACTAGTTCGATATTTTGGCTATGATTATGTACTATCAGTTATGATTATGACGTTCAGTTTCCCTTTCATTCTGTTGTTAAACAAGTTCATCTTAGTTCTTATCCTTTCTATGAATGAGTAGTTTAATAATCCAGTTTCATAATCATTCTTAACTGGATATAATCACATTTTGGTCATGAATTAATAAGTTTTATTTTCCACCCCAATCTTTAACCACACTCATGATTTAAATCAAATTTACACATGTATTTTCACATTTCATCATCTTATATGATTTAAAAAATTATGATGGTTGTGAGTTTTAAATTTATGAGCTTTAGGCTCTGTTTGATAAACCTAATTAACTGAAAAATGATGACGGCAGAGTAATATGGAAATGGGAGGGAACCCTTCAAAATTTGACATACATTATTTTTATAAAAATTTATATTGAAGAATTGAAAGAGTGATTTTCTGTCATTGATTTACACATTAGCCTCCCATGATTTCTTTCAAATAATAGACAATTATTTCTACTTTATTTAAACAATTGAGATGTTTATTTTTGCATTTCTTATTAGAGGTGTATATGGATTAGTTTGGGTTGAATTTGGATAAAACCAAAATTCAACCCATATAGCGTATATCGATTTGGATTTAGGTGAGGTAAAATTTCTACCCACAATATTATTGGGTCAGTTTAGATAAAACTATAAATTTGTAGGTTGGATTGAATGGGTCAGTTTAGATAAAACTATAAATTTGTAGGTTGGATTGAATTGGATAGTAGGTCACCTAATTTTTTCTTTCTTATATAACTATAAATAATGTGTCATATTGTTTTTCAAAAAATGCTCCAACTATTTTTTTTTGAAAAAAGGTTTAGGTATATTATTAGGTTAATATCAAATGTTTAAACATTCTTTAAAATTTATAATAATAATATTTAAAAAAAAATTAAAGTTGTATTATGATAGAACCTAAAACTAGAATTACATAAATTACTCAGAACTTACTAGTATTTGCATCAAAATAATCAAAGTTCTATATCATAAATAATTCAAAATCACGAGTCACGAAATAAGAGCTTAAAATTGAAAAAACCAAATATGAATATATCAAAGTCACTGTTCATCAAATTATAAAAAAAGGATTCAAGAACATTATTCAAATATATTTCACAATTAAAAAAAAAGTCTTGACTTCAACATTAATATCTTCAGGCAAATTCCAATGATAAATATATAAATATTAGTTCATATATCAAGTCATTAAGAGACTTAAAAAACAAAAAAAAAATATATAGTAGTTAATGGTAAATTTTATGGATTGAGTGAGTTGAGTGGTGTTCTGGACTGGGCCTGGGGCTGGCCCACCGTCAGGCACAATCCAGTCCAGCTCCGCATCAAAGAAAGCTCAATGCAAAAGCCCAATCCACTATAGCTATTAGATAGCACATTCCCCACGTGCTCCTCACCCGAGGACATGTGACCAACTGATCCCGCATATTCCGCGGAAACGTTCTGCCCTTCATAATGGACAAGTCTTCCACTTCTCCGAGAACGCGGAACAGTTGACCTAGAATGATGAGCACGAGCTGCTCATCTCTACCTCCATGTAGGGATCTTAGCAGTCATCCATTATGAGCATGATTACCCATTCCATAATGGAGACCATTGGCCCACCACTGGAGCTCTATAAATACCTTCCTCTGATGGAGGATCGGATATTCAATTCACTTCTTAACTTTTGTACTTGCCTTCTTTCACTATGAACTGACTTTAGCATCGGTGTGTGTGTGTATATAGATAGATAGATAGATAGATAGATAGATAGATAGATAGATAGATAGATAGATAGATAGATAGATAGATAGATAGAGAGAGAGACACACACACACACGCACACACTGCTATTATCTCTACTACAAATAATAATTTTTATGATAAAACTTTCACCTCGACCCACCAATAACTGATGTATATGCCTTGAAAGCGCCATCATTTTTAAAAAAAATATATATACAACTTATACCCTCGGTTATTACCAAAACTGAGGAAATATAACTACGAGGGAGTTCACTTTGAACCCCAGTTACTGCATTTTATGTTTTATTTTTATTTTTAATTGGTTTAGGATCACATGACGTCGTTCCCTTTTCCCTTTTCCCCTTTTTATTTATATTTTTAATTTGTATTGTCCTCGGTTATATTTGTCAATTGAGGGGTAATATCTTTTGCATCAACATTTTCAAATGTCTTTTTTTATATATTATTTTTAATTTTTAATTAATCTATTACATCAGTTTTGTTTAATAACCAACATGATAGTTATTTTAAATAAAATATCAGAATATGGCGTTATGAGGCTTTTCTATTTTTTTAATATTTAATTAATATATTCCCCCGATTTTGTCTAAAAACTGACGTGTTTGTTGTACTGCATGAATATTTCAAAGAACTAGACTCTAACTTTTCATTTACCTATCAATAAACACTTTAACTTCATCTTCATTCTCTTCACAAAAACCCTAGGTAATTTTCATAAAAAATCTTCCAACATTAACTCGAGCATCATCTCTTTTCAACGTCAACTGTTCCAACATCAACTCGAACATCATCTCTTTTCAACGTCAACTCTTCCAATATCAACTCAAACAACATCTATTTTCAATGTCAACTCTTCCAACATTAACTTGAACATCGTTTCTTTTCAAAACTCCTTGAAGCTCCGTCCTCACGTTTGAGGTACTTAATTTCATCGTCTAACTATGTTCATAGAAATGACTTTAGTTTTAGAAATGATCATGGAAATGTTGTTACATTCTGAAATGTTAGTTTTGGAAATGTTCATAGAAATGGTAATACCACTGAAATGTACGTAACTCTTCCATATATGTTGTTTATCTGGGAATGTTTCATCATAACCTATTGCTTAAGTGTATGTTTCTAGTAAGTATTTGTAGTAGTGTATATGGTTGTTGTTTCTATGTTCTAGCTAAACTCAAAAGACAAGTTTGAAATATTTAGTTTGTGTTTAAGCCTAATGGTTTATAACACACACGTCAGATGCAATTGGTATTAATAACAAATTCTTTTCAAGATATTTTGAATACCTTAATGTGAATCACAAGGAATACGTTCGTTCAGGTTCAGTTAGTAACATTTGTACTTGCAGTTGATATATATAATTTTAGAAATACAAACTTCCAAAATATTATTTGGTATCTTTGTTATATGTTGCTATTTTCCTTAATTTACACAGACATGGGTGATTCGACAAGTACCTCTCATACAACATCTACTACAAACTGTTATACCCCAATTTTGTCTAGGCATTTTAATTTTTTAAGCAACCAACTTTATTTTGTTTTATCTAGAATAAAATTTCAGTTTTGTAGACAGACCGATTGAATCGATTTCTTAACCACACGTAAAATCAGAGAACAATATTTTAAGGTTTTGGCTTGCAACTGCCTATTTTGTTGATTTACATTACGCGTAGTTTTGTTTGGTGTGCTCATTTTATTTTTTTGCATTTATGCGCGTTCACATTTTGATCAGTTTGAGTCGGATGTAGGGTATTTTTTACTTCAATATTGGATGTGCGACTTTCTGTTTTACCAAACTATATTACGCATAAGTTATTTTAGTGCATTCATTTTTTTACGCATCTTCGCGCGTTCGTGTTTTGCTTGATTAAATTCATTTTTTTTATTTTTTTAATCAAAATAATTAAGAAAAATAAATAGAGATAAAATAATAATTTATTTCATTTTATTATTTTGTTTAAAATGTTTGTGATTCAATAAGACTCATTTTGATCACTCAATAATTTCCAAGGGTATTGTTGGGAATAAATAAACTTAAAAATCCTAATAGGTAGTATATAAAGTTAACATTGAGGGCCAAGTTTGAAATCATCAGTCGCACTTCTCATTCACCACTCTCAATAAAAAAAAACTAAAAACAGAAAGGCTGAAAACGCTTCAATCTTGGCCTATCCATAACGTCTTCTTCTTTCTTCGTATAACACTCACTTCCACCTTCCTTCTTCAAAAATTTAACCTGTCACTCAACTTACCTCTTTCCATCAATTTCTATTCCTCACTCTCACCAAAAAAATAAAAAGCTAAAAAAGAAAAGGAGAAGAGAAAGACTGAAAACGCTTTCTTCTCTACGTTCAGCTTAAATTCATCCAACCACTGTAACCTCTTCTCTCCGCCTTCATTAAATTCTACTTTTCCCTCACTTATGTTTTCACCATCAACCTTACAGCCACTCTCACGACCTACATTTCACCGGCGAACTCCACATCCAACTACCAACAACCGCTAAATTCATCATAAAATCGACCGCCATACACACAACACCAACAGATCTCCGTCTCTCTTCTGTTTCTAACTCCCTCCATCTAAATCCATCTCGCAACCATCACAAAACAAATCCACCATCTCACTCATCCTCCCTCTCTATTTTCTCGTCGTCGACCACCACACAGCCCCTCAGCTCCGTCATGCACCAACCACCAACCTCCTTCACTTCTTCAAAACAACCACCTTCGTCTACCACCAATAATAACACTGAAGCCGAAAAGCTCTCTCATCTGCTCTAAACTCAACACTAAATGCACAACCCTTACATCCGCCATTGTGAATTATATTTCTATTTGTGACTTTGATTTGCATTCGTGTTTCCCAAACTCCAAGTGATGGATTTTGAACTTCAAAGTTTTTCATCAAGTTTTAAGTTGTGTTTTGATTTTTTGATTGTATTTTATTGTGTATTGATTTTGTTGCGAGTTTTGGTTTGCGTCTATCAATGGGATTGTTTTGTTTTATTTTTTAGTGTTTGGTTTGTATAATGTATGAATGAAAATGTTGTTGCGTTTTGTTATTTTCTTTTCATTGCATTACAATTTGGGAT